GACTGATCAGAAGCTTACGAGCGGGGCCATGTCGAACTTCTTTGGCCAAAACCCCCGCTCGTACCTATGATGAGGTGTTGAAGAGGTGCAGGAAATATATCAACCTCGAGAAGACTGAGGCGAAGTTTGCCAAACTGGAGGAACTAGGTCGTACGGAATCAAAGAAGGAGAAGGCAGCTTCGCCGAAAAGGAGGGGTTCGCCCAGGAGAGAAAGGCGAGCTAAGAAGGATCGAGGGCGTGAGGACAGGTGGAAGGATTGTCCTATCTCAGGAGGGAAGAGGTTCCATGACTATACCCCGTTGAATGTGAAGGTGGCCGAAGTCTTGATGCTATGGAGATGGGGATCGATGGGAAAGATGTGACGTGGCCTAGATCGAGATTTGAGGGGCCAACTCAGCCTAAGTCGAGAAGGTACTGCCGTTTCCAAAAAGACTATGGTCATACCATCGAGGATTGTCGGCATCTCAAAGACGAAATCGAGCGCCTTATTCGGGAGGGGCACCTTAAGGAGTTCATTTACCAGGATAGGGCGAGGGGGAAGGAGAAGAGGAGATGCCGTGAGTAATCGGTGGAAAGGAGCGATCGCGATGAAGATGAGGAGGAGGATCCTCGAGGAGGCCGAGATGGTCGGAGGAAAGATGAGGGAAAGAGGAGACGAGGAAGCAGAGATCAAGAGAGGCAAGGAGAGGGAGGCTAGATGAAAATAGGCACGATATATATGATTTTGGGTGGACCAACGGACGGGGACTCGAATAATGCTAGGAGAGGACATGTTCGAGCGATGAAGAGGAAGAGAGAGGAAGTGGGTATCACGGCACGAGTACCAGAAATCAGTTTTCGAGCGGAGGATGCAGAAGGGGTGGTGGTACCTCATAATGATGCCTTGGTGACTACGGCAGAGGTTGCAGGGTTTGATGTGAAAAGAGTATTTATAGACACGAGAAGTTCGGTCGATGTCATATTTTACGATTGTTTTGTGCAAATCAATCGGGAGCTAAATGTTGAGTTGAAGCCGGTGGCTACAGCCTTGTACGATTTTTAACGGTGGGGAAGTCATGCCGATGGGGGAGGTAAGTTTGTCCGTGGCTTTGGGAAAATGAGTGGCCCGAAAGGTCAGGATGGTTCGATTTGTGGTGGTCTGAGCTGAATCATCATACAATATTATTATGGGGAGAACGAGCTTGAACGCTTTCCAGGCGGTCCTATCAATGTACCATATGACGATCAAGTATCTTGTGGGTGAACACGTTGGTGAGGTCGCAGGGGACCAGCTTACATCCCGAAGTTGTTATCAAACTACAGTAAGCAATAACAGGCAGTTAGCCAAGAGGCAAGTGAAGGGAGGAGACGAAGTATCGAGTAAACCTGGGAGCTCGAGGTCCAGGGAAGAGAGGACAGCGGTGGATATGGGTAAGGAGAAGGCAAAGATGCAACCAGGTGGGGATTCAAAAAAATCCAGATGGTGCAAGGCAATGAGGAGAGGAAATTTCAAATTGGGAAGGAGCTGGAGGAGCCAGTAAGGTCAAAGTTGATCAGCATGATAATGGAGTTTGCGGATGTCTTTGCATTTTCAACAGAGGAGCTGACTGGTATCAAGGCTAAAGTCATCGAGCATCGACTAAATATCGACCTCACTGTGAGACCAGTAAAGCAAAAGAGGAGACATCACGGGGCAGAGATGGATAAAGTGATTGAACTGGAGGTGGAGAAGCTCCTGGTAGCAGGCCATATAAAGGAGAACCAATTCTCGGAGTGGTTGTCGAACTTGGTGATGGTCTCAAAGTCAGAGGGAAAATGGCGGATGTGTATAGACTTCCAAGATTTGAATAAGTCGTGCCCGAAAGACTTATACCTACTACCCAGAATCGACGAACTAGTCAACTCCATGGCCAGATGCGAGCTGCTTAGCTTGATGGATGCATCGCAGGGGTATCACCAGATCCCTCTGGCCCGGGAGACTGGAAGAGGGTCAGTTTTGTGACAAGCCGAGGAACCTACTGTTATGTGGTGATGCCATTTGGTCTAAAAAATGCAGGGGCAACGTATCAGAGGCTGGTGGATAAGATTTTTAAGGAGCAGTTGGGGAGGAACATGGAGGTGTATGTGGACGATATGTTGGTGAAGAGCAAGGAGGAGATCGATCATATGAGTGACTTGAAGAAGACATTTATGACTCTGCGGAAGTATGGGATGAAGTTGAACCCCGCTAAGTGCTCATTTGGGGTCAAATCTGGGAAGTTTCTGGTTTACATTGTCACAAAAAGAGGAATCAGGTTAACCCGGAGAAAGTAAGGGCGGTGGTCGAAATGAAACCCCCCACGAAGGTAAAAGAGGTGCAGATCCTAACAGGTCAAATTGCAGGCCTAAGCCGCTTTATTTCAAAGGTGGCCGAGAAGAGTGGGCCCTTCTTCAAAACACTAAGGAAGAGTTCAAAGTTCCAGTAGACAGAAGAAGCCCAGAAGTCGTTTGAGAAGTTACACAAGGTGTTAGTCGACCTGCCACTGTTAGAAAAGCCGGTTCAGGGGGAGGACTTGGTATTGTACGTATCCATTGGTGAAACGACGGTGAGTTCGGTGTTACTGAGGAAGGAAGGGACGGCCCAATTTCCGATTTATTACGTAAGCAAAGTGATGCAAGGTGCGGAGAGGAGGTATTCGGAGATCGAAAAGGGTGCCTTGGCAGTGGTCTTCATTGTCAGAAAACTGAGACCATATTTCTTGGGTCATAGGGTGAGGGTTCGGACGAACATGCCACTGAGAGAAACATTGGGTTGACCCTTCGTATCGGGTTGATTAGTCAAGTGAGCAGTCGAGCTGAGTGAATACACGATTGTTTATGAGCCGAGGAGGGCGATTAAGGCCCAGGCGCTGGCCGACTTCATGCAAGAAGGGACAAAAGAAGAGGAGGAGTCTGAAGACGTTTGGTAGGTGTACGTGAATGGGTCGGTATCAAGGGTTGGAGGTGGCCTCGGGATCGTGCTTATATCACCAAAAGGTGATAGCATCGAGTTTGCAGTAAAGGTGGCATATCAGGTATCAAATAATGAGGCGGAGTATCAGGCAGTCATTAAAGGGCTTGAGCTGGCCCTAGCTGGAGGAGCTTGGAAGGTACAGATACATTCAGACTCGCAATTGGTGGTTGTCCAGTTTCAAGAAGGGTTCGAGGTAAAGAAGGGCAGGATGATCAAGTATGTAGAGGAGATAAAAAAGCTGCAGAAGGAGTTCGACTCTTTCGAGTTGATCCAGATACCTCGAGGGGAGAACGGTCGAGCGGATTTATTGTCTAAAATCGCGCAGAGCCTAGTCGACTGCAAGAGTAGAAGTGTAACCCTGCTGCATATGGAGAAAATTGCAGTCGAGAAGGAAGTGGTCGAAATAGAAGAAGTCGAGGATTGGAGGGCCCCGATAGTTAAAAATTTGAAGGAGGGAGAGGTTAAAGTGATAAGGAGGTTCTTCGAGCACGGGGGGATCTTATACAAAAGATCACACGTTGGACCGCATTTGCGATGTTTGACTAGGGAAGAAGGGCGATACGTGCTGAGGGAGATCCACGAGTGGTGCTGTAGTGATCACAGCAAAGCAGGCTCCCTAGTGGCGAAAACCCTAAAGGCGGGACATTTCTGGCCGACAATGAGGGAAGATGCAAGAACGATGGTGCGAAGGTGTCTGCAATGCCAGAAGCATGGCTTGCTTCATTCATTAACCGGTTGCAGCAATGATGACGATGAGCGCCCCCATTCCATTCGCCCAATGGAGTATCGACCTGGTGGGGCCCATGCCACAGGGAACCGGACAAAGAAAATTTTTTGTTGTTGCGTTCGATTACTTCACAAAGTGGGTGGAGGCCGAACCGTTGGCAAAGATTACGGAGGAGAGAGTAATACATTTTCTATATACTAACATCTGGTGCAGGTTCGGAGTTCCTAAGGTATTCGTGTCGGACAACGGGACCCAGTTCAATGGCAAGCGGATTCGAGCATGGTGCGAGGACATGAAAATCGAGCAACACATTGCTTCAGTTGCTCATCCGCAAGCCAACGGGCAGGTCGACGTGACCAACAGGATCATACTGAATGGTCTCAAAACAAGGCTGGAGCAGGCATCGGGAGAATGGGTGGATGAGCTTACTTTGGTGCTATGGGCATACAGAACAACGCCCCGATCGACCACTGGAGAAACACCGTTCAGTCTGGTTTACGGAATGGAAGCTTTGTTGCCGGTTGAGGTCGAGGTTCAATCCCAGAGATCGAGCACATATGATCGAGAATAGAATGAACACTTGATGATGGCAGCTCTCGACACAATGGAAGAACTCCGAGAAAATGCCTCAATCAGGGTCGAAGCTTATAAGCAAAGGATGCGAGCAGCGCATGACAGAAAGGTGAGAGTGCGGAGGTTCCAGGTGGGCGACCTGGTCTGGAAAAGAATCGATGCTTAGACATGTTGGAAAGCTGGAGCCGAACTGGGAAGGACCATACCTCATCGAAAAGGTCCATGCTGGAGGGGCATACTCTTTAAAGGATGCTGAGGGAAGATCTCTAGCCAAGTCATGGAATGTGGTCAACTTGAAGAAATATTATGCTTAAATTTTCTTTTATTTATAAAAAAAAGGGGCTTTGTGGAATCAATGTAATGAATCTCTTTATTTGACAATTAATGAAATTGCATATTGGAATTACTACAATTCACTGTCTACCAAATTGTTCTATGGCTGGAATGTCCAGATTAACCCTGATGACAGGTCATTTTTAAAAAATTCATCATGATTAAGGCCAAGAGGCTAGATGGTCGCATATAACGACCATTCCCTTGAGGGTGGGCATGTGCTCGAAGATAAAAATCCATCATGATTAAGGCCAAAAGGCTAGATGGTCGCATGTAACGACCACTCCCTTGAGGGTGGGCATGTGCTCGAAGATAAAAACAATCCATCATGATTAAGGCCAAGAGGTCAGATGGTCGCATGTAACGACCACTCCCTTGAGGGTGGACATGCGCTCGCAGATAAAAATCCATCATGATTA